AAGTATGAAGCCCAACCCTTCAAAATTTATAAAAATGATATTTTTTTTAAAGTAGGCCAAACTCCAAAGTCAAATGTCTTGCTATAAAATGAAAGGTCTTGTCATAAGGATTAAATATATAAAGTATGAAAGCACTAACCCAAAACCTTTTCAAGTTATGGTCAAGATTTGCCTTATAAAAGTAGGTCAAACTCCAAGGTCAAAAGGTCAAAGTTCTGGGTCTTCTTACAAGGATTACATATGTACGTATAAAAAGCACTATTTATCCCTTACCATTCAAAACTTATGGCCAAGGTTAAAGTTTCTTCATAAGTATGGAATCTCGTAGGTCAAGGTAAAAAGGTCAAGCTTGTTAATATCTAATGAAAGGTCTTTCCACAAAAATACAAATATGAAGTATAAATGTCCTGGTATCTAATGTTCAAAAGATATGGCCAACTACCTTTAGGCAAATGTTGGGGTCAGAATATGAATAAAAAATTCCCAAAGAGACAACAAATATATTAATTTCAAAACTTGGAAAAATTCAATGTGTGAATCATTGAGAAAAAAGATTTGAATGAAATGAAAGCTGAAATATTGTAGTTTTTGGCTATCTGCTAAAACATAATTTCAACTCTAATTAATGAGCTCTAATTAGCTAAGAAACAGGAAGTTAACTGATTTTTAAGGAATTAATTAGCAAAAAAGTGAAAATCTAAATTCTAAAACAAAGTCAGAGACTGGAAAAAATGGTGTCAATAGAGACTTCAATAATGTACCTTGGAGCCTTGACAACAGTGATCACTGATTAATGGCTGGTGATTAAGAAAATGGGGTTCTTAAGCAGTGTGGCCACTATGGGGTGATGAGGCTTTTCAATCAGTCATCAAAGAAGGAAGTTTTGTTATAAGAGTCAAAGAATATGCAGGCTCGGTTAGTAAAGTGAATAAACAACACAAAAATTTACAATACTTACAAATGTGCACCACATACAATAGCATATTCTTAGAAAAAGTGAAGTTTCTCTACAAGTGAATAAACAACACAAAAATTTACAATACTTACTCATACAATAGTATACAGTATATATAATTACCATGCCACAAAAAGGACCAAAATGGTTGCATCAACATCAATACAAAAAACGAAGTATTCCTCACAACAAAGGCCAGAAGAAAATAGGGAGAGACCAGCCCAGTCCAATCTCTAGTTCCCATAAGAAGACTAAGTAAAGAAAAGGACATTGTACGGCCACAGAAAAATGGGTTTTTTGCAGTTATAGATGGAAAGAGCCGAAGCAGTGAGATGAAGTTTTTACAACCCAGGCCAAGTGAAGTCCAGCCAGTGGACACCTACATCTGTGAAATTCAAAAGTACTTCACCAAGAAAAGACTGCTAAATTGTGGAACAATGACCATTCAAATTCAAACTGTATGGAAGAAAAGACTGCTAAATTTTGTAAGGAACTATAAGTCACCGAGCATTTAAAGAGAAGACTGGCACGAAGTTTCCAGACTGTGCCATGGCTGTCCACTGGACTGGGTACCAGTCTTACAATCAGGGTATGCGTGGTATGCTTCTTGGTGCAAAAAACGATGCCCAGCGTCAGCTGCCATTTATGTAACAACCTGCAACAAAGTGGGGAAAATTATACAGTAAAAACAGTATGAAGAAGAGAACTTAATGAACAAGAGGCCCAGGGGCCACAGCGCTCACCTGAGCACATCAGGGATTTTCCACCATCCAGGTGTTCAGGGCCACAGAAGCTGCACAGCTGAATGTGGCCATGCTGTCGGTCACCTGGGTACCAGTCTTACAACAGAGGGTATTTATGCTTCTTGGTGCAAAAAGAACCAGAGTCAGTTTCCCTATATATCCCAATGTAAAAGACCTGGAACAAAGCCCTGAGGGGATAAACTTGAATCTACATTAATGATTCCACAGTATGAAGGACTTTCCTGGCCCAATGGTTGCAAGAAGATTTTTTAATGAAAAATTTTAGGGACCACCATATATCTCCCCATCAGAAACTAAGTAAAGAAGAGTTTCGGCCATTTTAATGCCCAACTTATAGATGGAAAACCCCAGCGAGATTGAAGTTTCATGATTGTGAACAAACTTGAACCTACATGGAATCTGTGTCAGGATGACCCAAATTCAAAAGTACTTCACCAAGAAAAGACCAGTAAATTGTGGAACAATGCATTTAAAGAACCTATATATTCCAGACTGTGATGGTCCACTGGACTGGGCCATGGGGAGGAAAAACGATACCTGGCATGGATCCTTTCCATTTGATGTAAGAAGTGCCACTATACCAGTCACCGAGAAAAGCTTTTGAAAGGTGAGAAGATCTGGCAGGGGAAAAGAGCTGCACAGCTGAATGTGGCCATGGCTGTCGGTCACCTGGGTACCAGTCTTACAACAGAGGGTATGTGTAGTATGCTTCTTGGTGCAAATATTGAACCAGCGTCAGCTGCCAATATGCAACAGACCTGAAACAAAGTGGGGAAAATTATAACCGATGTAAATAAAAACAGTATGAAGAAAATTCGGCAAAATATTCAAGAACTTAATGAAAAATGTGGACTTCCAGATACCCCCATCAGAGGCAAAGGAGATGCTCGGTACAATAATGCAACCTTCAGTGCCATTGGGAAAACCTCATTCCAAGCTGCCACCCAGTTGACATATACCGTAACTCAGAGGAAGAATGTGGTAGCAGTTTTCTGTGGGAATAAACTATGTAAGAAAGGCGCACACCTACGAAGCAAAGGAAAAGAAGTTACCTGCCCAAGACAAGAAGACTGCACTGCAACCATTCCTCCGGAGACCACCATTGGAGACAAGAAGAGATGGGTTGCTAATTGTGTTGGTGAGTTACAAAGTGATGACCAGCCACTTATATCCCATTTCACCAGTGATGGAGACAAAGCCGCTGCATCTGGTGCATCTGAAAAACAAGGACATTTGATTGAAAACATTAAGGACTTGGGTCACTTCTTTGACTCTCAAAGAAAACAGAGTGCTAAAGCTCCATTCAGCAGTCACACGTTTCCGGGAAGAACCAAGGCCATAAGAGAATCCATGCAGAGAAGATCTGCCTTGGACCTGAAGCTTCGATGCAGGACAAAGTACGAGAATTGCTACAAACACTACTCCGGCGACTTACCTTTGATGAAGCGTGCTATGTCTACTGTGGTTGGTTCCCTCATAAACTGCTACCAGGGACAGTGCAAGAAGTCCTGTCAACTCTATTCCTTTTCCTGTCTTGGACTGAAAAGCAATAAGTGGAAATCTTCAGTGTTGCCTAGTGACTTTGAATTAAACATGACAGAAAAAGACAAACGTATGTTAAAGGACTGTATAAATTTGACTTTAGGACAAAGTAATCTTGATAGAATCAAATATCAACTTGTACACAAAATTCTGAATCTGTAAATAGGGCATATTTAAAATCAAATCCAAAATGTATTACAAGTAGTAGAAATTTTGAAAGTAGAATACATAAAGTTGTGCACTCACTGAATAGGGGTCATGGAAACTCAACACTGGAACTTTGTGAATCTGTAGGGGCACCTGTTGTAAAAGAGAGTAGAGTGGTCCATCATCTAAAACAACAACAAAATAGACAAAATTACTTTAAAATGAAACAAAAACTTTTAAAATATAAATTTCAATGAAAATACTACAGATCTAAAAGATATTGGCTGTACGATAAAAAATCTAAAGACACTTACAGTAAATCATTAACAGATCCAAAATTAAAAAGGAAGTTGTAAGACTTTGAAAGGGGATTGATGATATGTACATGCATTTCAAATGTATAAAATTTGTACTTAAAATATATTTTGTGAACTATCTTACATGTAATAATTGTTTTATGGTACATTATGCATTGATTATTTTCAACTGTGTAAATGGGGAAAATGTGGACATGTAAATAATGTATTATTATAAGTGTAAAATGTGACATTTTCTTATACGAGAGAGTCTGTACATGTAAAAATGTTATATTCTTAATTATTTAGCTCATTAAAATTATTTGAATTAAAAATCTTGTTTTTCTTACCTGTGTGATCACAACAAAGGTTACTGAGGTAATTGGTAGAAATACAGGTATACAGTGTCAAAACTGTCCGTTGGTGACCAGACTGCATGCCGCATTGTTTATCCGCCATTATTGATCTTTTCAAGGGGAGACAACACCTGAAATCAGAGAAATTTTAATGAAAATGAGAGTTACCTGTTCCTCTTCCAATCTCACACAAGGAAATAATTCCACTATTATATAGCTTGAATTAAATTATTTAATTTATTACACTCTCAGCAGAAAATTCATGAAAGAGAAAATAAAGATTAATGCTTAAACAAAAATTGGAGATCAGAAAAAATATGCCTTATGCAGCTTTTAAGAAAGAAAATCGACAGTAAACATACCTACCCAGAAATGCACGTTGGATTCACATGTTGACAAACAGCCTACACATCATCAAGGAAGTTGCATCATGCGCACCTGAAAAAAGAGTTCCTTTTAATTCAGTGGGATAATTCTGCTAAAGAAATGATGTTCCTAGTACATGAGTCCAATTTTATTACTGTAGGCCTAAAACAAATTGCCAAAAATGAAAAAAGAAAAAAAAGATCATCTCTATATATATGGAACTTCAATTGACTAAGTTCATTTTGATGCTATTTCCTTGCGTAAGACCTTTAAGGAATCACTGTCTAGTAAGTGTAGTATGCCAGGGCATCAACGATAGTGGGAAACATGGGATAATTTGCATAACGGGCTAAGCCCATTATGCATAAATTACCCCATGTTTCCCACTATCGTTGATGTCCCTGGCATACTATATTAACTAGACAGTGATTCCTTATATTTCCATTTCATTGTGAAATAAAATTGTAGACTTAGACTTTGAAAATGTAGACTAATGGATTTAAATTACACGAGGAATCCCATGCCAATTTCAATACGGTAGTCCTCGCCAAATCACGTCAAACACACAGACAGCCGCACGAGATTTATATGCATATTATTTGGCCTCCTTAGCATCAGACACAGAGACAGATGCGCACGAGATTTGCATGCATAGCTCCTGACCTATCGACCTGGCTGCCTAATTTACATTCTGGCAGAATTATAAAAAAATAAACTCCCCTTACTTTCAAAGAGTTATCACAGAGAAAAAAATTAGAAATGGAAATATTTAAATATAACCACAAAATTCAAAATGTAAGTCTTTGTGACCTACTTTTTAGTTGACGTTATCTGAAGACCCAGTTTGCTAGGTATTCCTAATATGTAAAATTTTGATTCCCTACTGTGGCCCCATCCTACCCCTTAGGGTCATGATTGCATTGATTTGAACAAGAAAAATCCACCTACACTACCTGAGGATGTTTCCATATCAAAAGGATTAAACCATGGCTTTGCTTCTCTCAAAAATAAGATTTTACATTTTTTATATATATATATTGCTGTGTAAGACTTTGATTCTCTATTGTGACAAACCTGAATCTGTACTGGATGATAATACTTCCATATCAATATGACTGATCAAATCTGTGTTGTTCTTGATAAAAGATTAATAAAAAAAAATACAGGGTATTCCTATGTACAACTTTGATCTATTGTGGCCCACCCTAATCCCCGGGGTCATGATATGAACAAACTTGAATCTACACTATGTAATAAATGTTTCACATAAGTTTAAACTTTTATGGGCCAATGAATGGTTCTTGGGAAGATTTTTGAAAGATGGCTACAAATATACATATTTCTTTATGAACTCCCCTTTAAATAGTGTGCCATTATCTGAACAAATCTTATTTAAAATTCTTACACTGACAAGATAGCCCTATTTTTTCAATCAAAATGTTATCAGATAGACTGTTATGTGACAGAATGTGGCCTAACGTGTGCAAGTTGTGCTAATCTGTTTGCACGGTACGAACCATGCTAACCGTACTTACAGTTTGACATATTCAAGGCACTTCCGTCTGCTAACTTTTGGTCTTAGTCAAGTTGGTGGTGATGTTTGACAAGTTAAATCAAGAGCACTTCATGAATTCTCCCTTAACTTTTGGTCTTAGTCTTTTTTTAATAAAGTTTTTGGTGGTGATGTTAATGGAGTAATTCACACAAGTTAAATCAAGATCATATCACGGTGTACACTATATTCAATGATTTACACCGTGTAATTGTTTTCACTATTAATTCTATATAGAATAAAAAATCGTTAAAAATCAGGTATTTGTTTACATGAAAAAATATTTAGCAGAAGGTGTTAAACATTACCTGTCACATTAGCTTCATTTTCGGACTTTTTCCACTTTGCATTTCAAATCCACGTGTTTTCACTGTGTTTATAAACACCTCGAGTGCACTTAGCCTCCTAATGAAAAAAAAGTTCCTGTCCAAAACCTTTATTTATTCACAAAGTACATAAAATTTACTAGGCACAGGACCAAAGTTGTAAAAGTTGGATCATATCACGGTGTACGGTGTATATATTTCATGCCCCCGGGGGGGGGGGGGGGGGGGGGGGGGGGGGAGAGGATACAGGGTTTTTTTTTTCTAATTTATACAGGTATCATACCATTTACAAACTGCATTCTGTTTGATTTGTGTTTTATATTGTTATAAAATAAGACCTACCGAAGTTGAAAATATAGATTTTGGAATTTACTTTAAAAAAATGAACTTACAAATGCTCAGAAAGTTGAAAATGCTACATAAAGGGAATTATTTCTGTGTTTCTTGTTTTATTTTGAATAGTAAAACCAAATATTTTCATGGGAGGATGTGTTATAGCGAACTACTATACGTAAGTTGTAAATCACATTTTCAAGGAAACAAACTGCACATGATTCAAAAAAAAAACAAAAAAAAACGCGTTTCCGTGTTTTGCGTGAAAATAAAAAAAAAACTAAGCTGGGCAAAGTTTGTAAAAACAGGGGCCCATATCATTGCCAGGCGGATCCAGAGGGGGGGGGGGTCGGTGGTTGGAACCTCACCCAACCCCTTTATTTTTGTACACAGAGAGAGAAGGAAAGAGAAAGATTTTTCTGTAATAAAGATATTTATACGTCTAATAATTTGAAGAAAAAACTCTGTCCTTTCTGTTCGCTAGATCTGTAGATTTTTGCGTATATTTGCTTTCCTTCGTGTACCTGACCACCCACAATTTAAAAGTAACATGCAAGGATCGAAGATTCTGGCGAAGTTTAATTAACTTACTATACCATTTTTGGACCATCTTCAGAAGTAACTAACTTTTTGAAGTATGTATAAAATATTTCAATATTTCATATTCAATGACGAAGAGAAAGGTTCATGTAGAATGCAGATGGAAAGGGGGGGGGGGTCTGACTGTAGCTCTCCGGTCTTTCAAAATATTTTTTCGGGGAGCTACAGTTATGCATCTAACGCAAAATAAAAGCTGATATAATTGTCTCAAAACCTCTACATCAAATAAGCAATAAACAATTTGAAGGAACTGATCTTAGTCATTTTACCATGAAGGGACTATATACAATGTACTAGTATATATAGACCTCGGGCGGATCCAGCAATTGTAGAAAGGGGGGGGGGGTCCCAGGTCGGTGTCCCCAGCATTCTTGCATAGAATCACATATAAGAATGGGACCTCCCAAAACAATTAAGAAGCAAAAAAAAAACAAACAAACAAACAAACAAACAACCAAAAACAAGAAATGAATAAAAAAAAAAACACCTAATGTATGCACCACGTTCTAAATTGGGGGGGGGGGGGATTCCTGACACTTAAGTTTTCTGTTCGGTACATTAATTTACATTTAATGCTTGAATTTGCGTATTTTCTGGAAACAAAATGTGTGGAAGGAGCTTCCAAAACATAGCATTATTACAGAAAAATTAGATTATTCTCAGATTGTTATTGCCATGCATATCCTTGAAGTTCCTTCGTACATTTAATTAATTTGATTAATATTTTATTATGTAAAGTACGATTACATTATTGGATATACATTATATTATTATTCAAACGTGTACACGTACATTTCCTGAATCTAAATAATAAGTTTTCCCTTCAAACAGTTAGAATAACTAAATGAATGTATATTTTTGTGTGATAAAATGTAATGACCGTGAACGCAAATTAATTTAAATTTTATTTATTACATTAGTGTTGGTAAACTCATATATCGAATGCGTGAATTGGAATAGAGAAGAATAAGTGTAGTTACATAGAAATCAGTCATACAGAAATAAAATAAGTTGCGACAATTGATTAAAAAACAAAATAAAGAAGAGTAAGTATAGTTATATAGAAATCAATGTAAACTGCATGATCTGATAAAACTCATTCATCGAATAGGGTGGGGTCTGAGTATTATATTACTAGTATTTTGCTATAGTACATATTGTTTAAGATATTAAGATAATTGTTGTTTGCTAGGTTTTCCTTTATTTATTTATCTATTTGTTTTGTTTGTCTTTTCTATTTCTTGGGAAGCCCCCCGCCTCGGGCAAAAAAAAACCCACAATGTCTTTTGCAAACGTTGTTACGGTCTGTGTAACTACGGGCACCTGTCCTCACGTGTCATATCAGGGGTAGACACGTGTCAGGAAGACACCTGTCGCTGTGTATTTTTTGTATATTCTATGTGATTTGAGAGGGTTTCCTACCCAAAGGGAACAATGGGCTGTTGTCGTGCATGTACACACACAGTCTCCGCAAGATGATGATTCAATTTGTGTGGGTTTTTTTAATTCAATCATTAAAAATTATTGTATAATAATTCATAAGTTACACAAGAGAACATATTCATAAAATAACCTACATTTATTTTAAGACATTCAATGAAAGAACAACTATTTAGAACTTTAAAAGATTTCAATTTTCATTACTGATTTAAAATAAATTTATCCTCAAAATAATTTTCTTAAATACCGGTATTTCACATGATTTTGTTTTCCTCAAGAACAACCGTTACGGCTTTTGAAGTTACCCTATGCTAACTAAAGGCAATCTATAAAAAGAATTAATTGTATAGTTGTATTGTTATGCAGTTTCTGTTGATATCATTATAAAAAGATGTGAAGTTTGTCAAAAACTACTACAAACATGTCTTGATCTACGTTTTCCAATATTTTATTTTAATTCACCGACATGCTGTATTAATTTACTCTTTTTAAGAATAAAAGATGTGTGTCCTTAAATTTACAACGATAGAATCGATCAGACTACAGGCCTGTAGGAAAGTAATTTCCGTTTAGGTAACCGTGAAATATTTACTAGCATACCTTACCAGATTCCATAACGAAAAAAATTACATTAGAAGAGATATAGGGCGGGAACAGCTAACAGCCCTACACATTAACGAATAATCAAGATGACCTTTGACACGCTCTTTCCAATGGCCTCACTTATACCTGTCGTGGCTAATATACTGAATTACAAAACAGACTGTTAATTTTTCCTGCCTTTGATTAGATATTAATTTTGTTCCACCTTGTGATAACTCTCCTTAAAAAAAGGTTTTCAAACCCGTCCAGAAATTTGAAGTTTCAATAACTTTTTAGATAAAATAAGATAATTATCTTTAATATGTTTTGAGAAAATATGTCTATACAGTGTACGTGTTTAAGAAGATCGATGTCCATCGTTCATATGCATATGGTTATCAGGGTAGGGGGTCTAATAGATTCACTTCATTTTTATCCCTCATCCAGTCCTGTGGCTATCGATGAATATTCAGCGAAAGCTATAGGACTGAGACTCGCAGTATCACTTTTCCGCCATTCAAAACAGTTTTCCGCGAGAAAAATCGTGCTTTCTGATGACAAATTATACAGCTTTTAATTTTCCGCTATTGTACTCTTTGGTTCTTGTGATATATTTTAGCCACTACTCTTTCGA